ATACTGGATCAACGCAGCAATATGGCTGCTATACCCCCTCATTCCATAGAGCTGGTAGTGACATGTAAACACATACAACAAAAAAGAACAAAGGAAATATTTGAAGGCATCAAGATAAAGGATATAAAATAATAAATACAGAAGTAAGATTAACACAGAAAAATGAATATGGTTAAATAAGTATAAAACACAAAATAAAAACTTCATAGCAATGTGATCTTAGCATGAAAGATTGACACATTTACTATCCATAGGGAAAGAAGACTGGGAGGAAATGTTCCAGCACGCTCTCAGCTTTGTAATGTGCCCAGAGGTGAGGGCAGGATTATCTCAGCATAATAATGCCAATATTAGTAACTTACAAGACGTCAGGTCAAGATAAATGAATGGGGAGAATATGATTTTTCCATCTAGATCTGATGGGAGTCTTCAGAGGAAATTAATTTTTCCTTAGGAGAATGTCAACTGCAGCCTGGAATAGAAGCTGGCCATTGAATCCCCCCCCGCCAAGTATAGATCAGAGCCCAACTTTTCCCTCTGCAGTGACAGCAGAAACTGGGAGTGGGGGGTGGCGGGTGCACTTTTCAACATTTAGTGGATGCCTGGGAAATTGTCCAGACTTAAGAACCAACCAAAGGACGGGTAGTCGTTTCTTCAGGGAGAAGAAAGTGACCAATGGGGCGGTGATAAATAGAGAGGCCTGAGGGAAGTGCAGGGAAAACCTAGGAGTGAGACAGTGACCACAGCCACGTGGGCACTCCAGGGAGGGGCAGAAGTGACCAGACTAGACGACCAGCACCTGACTTTCTGTCCCTCATAATTTCTCTCTCTCTCTCCATGAGATACGACTTTGGAAAAATTGCCTAAACTCGTCTGCAAAGAATCATGTATTTCTTCATTAGTGTGCATGCACAGGTTGAAGAAGGTGGGGATGGCAGGGACAGGTCCAGGAGGTATAATGCTCACCACCTCTTGCCCCATACTCTACTGGACATCAGCAGCGTCCTCATCATGGACTGTCAGGCAGCAAGAGGGCTCCCGTAGGAGACAATGATCTACACACAGAAACACGAATCACTGTTCAGTGGTTTTTCAATAGCCCATGGGGTCAAGTCTGAATTCCCTGATGGGACCCTCACACTCAGGCCCTGCCCACCTCCAAGGCTTCATTTTATTGCCACCTCATTCTGCGCCTCTGGGCTCCCGTCATCTTCTAAATCTCAGGATGGGCAGGGGTGTCTCCTGTCTCCCTGACTTTGCCCAAGTGCTCCTTCTGCCTGGAATATGCTGAATATTCTCTTCTCTGCCTGGTGAACTTGTCATTTAAGACCTAGTTCCTCTGTCACTGCATCTGTAAAGTCATTCTTCCTCAGCGTCAATCTCTCTGCCACCACCCTCTCCGCAAGAACAAGTCATTTCCTCTCTGTGCTTCCTCACTCACCCAGAGTGTTGTACAGCAAAATGTTCCTGCACCGTCACAGGAACCCGAGCACCTTCTTTCCCTCTTTACATGTGTCTCATTCCTAGCCCGTGAGTTCTGGGAAGTCAGGGAACAAGTATTGTTAATTGTTTTGCCCCTACTATCGTCTAGTACAGTGCCTGACATATGGGAACCATTTGGTAAATGTTCAGGGAATGAACAGGAGGCACATGAATGATAATGAGTGAATTCATTCACTCATTGATGAATTAATCCAGATCCTTTTAGTTATAGCATGCTATAGTGCAAATGTTCCTATTAAATATGATACAGCATTATACATTAGAATATGGTCTAAATCCTATATCTAAAATACTAACATATATTAAAATGTATATAAAACATATTTTATATTTGTATATTTGATAATATAAATAAAATGAAAAATAAAATATAAATATCTGTGTATATATAAAAAACACGATTATAATTTTTAAAGGAAAGTTTCTTAATCTTTGTTCTTTTTATATTTACAAATTTTTTTGGTGACAAAACAAAGAATGAAATGGAGAAAATTAGAACTCCAAATTCTGACATCTAAACTATAGCTGGCTTTAAAGATTAGCACACAAATCTTTCTGTAACTGTCTCCAATTATAAGACAATAATAAAGATATCTACTTGCTAGTAATAATCTGCGTGCTGGTTTGATTTTTTTTTAACCCAAGAAATAAATACAAAACAGAGTTGGAAGATATTCATAGAAGGGAGCAACTAAAATACTCTTGAAAATACTTTCAAGAGAATAAAAAAGTGAAGACTCTCACTTCCTTCTGCAACACACATGAAACTTGGCCATGTCCATTCAAATTCACTTTATGAGTATTTATGAATGTATGTTCTGTGTTCGATACTGAATCAGTTATTCGTTTATTCAATAAATACTTATTGAGCACCTACTATGTGCCAGGCATTATTCTAAGAACTAGAGATAGGGCAGTAAACCAAACAAAAATCCATGCACTCATGGAACTTATATTCTAGAAGCATGAGAGATAATAAGCAAATAAATAAAATATATACTATGTCAGCTCGTGATAAGGGCTATAGAGAAAAACAAAGTTAGAAAAGGAGTTAAAAGTGTCAGGACAAGGGAAGGAGGCATTACAATGTTAAATAGATGGTCAGAGCAGGTGACATTTGAACAAAATCTGGGAAAGTCTTAAATGGGTTCTGGAAGAAAGGAGGGGATGTGCAAATGATCACACTTTTTTTCTATAGTCCTGTATGCAGGATCTTGCATTCCACAGGTCTGTGTTTGTTGGTGATGACCTAACTTTTAACTGATTAAAGGGTGCTGTCAGACAGAAAGAGATACTCCTTCAGATGGAGGTGGAACATGACAACTTGACTCCAACTTTGAAGGACAGGGAGAGACCGGATGTGACGTAAGTGAGGACAGCAGGAAGATTAGCATAATCAGGGGAGGTCCCTGGCAGAGAGGAACACTGCCTTCTCCAGGGACAAGCTGCAGATCTTCCCTGCCCCAAGGTAAGGAAGGGAGCTGGTTATCTGAAGTGGGCCTACAAGCCAGTGAGAGAAGGTCACACTTGGTCATAGAGGCTATGGGAAGCCACTGAAGCTAAATGACAGGGGAGAAACATGATGAAACAGGTATCTTAGGAAGTTTAATCCAGGGCTAGGGTCAAATTAGATCAGACTAAGGAGAGGCTACAGATGGGAGAGCCATTTAAAATCTTATTTTTGTTATCCAGACATCAACGTATGAGAGCTGGACCATAATGGAAGCAGTGAGAACAATGATATTCATAAAGGAGTGATGTTTGTAAAAAAAACAAATGATGGGCCTTAGTAGATGATTAGACCTAAAGGGTGAAGGAGAGGAAGAAGTTAGAGCTGACATGTTCCCAAAGTTCAGAGAGAGGCAAACAGATGGTGCCATTCTAAGACTGAGGCCTCTGTGATCCAAAGAGAATGTGACTTAGGATCACACAGTAAAAAGCTGAAGCCAGAACCCAGATTTCCCCCCTAGTTAACTCCAAAGTTTTAAACCTAGGAAATAGGAAGTAGTACCACCAACAGAAATGGGTATTATGGAGAGCTAACTAGCTTCCAATTGAGTAGGAGAGATGGAGAATTTTAGTTTTATATTGGCAGAGTTTGGTGGAGTTGGAAGATATTCAAGTAGACATAACTGGGAGACAGGCAAAACTTTAGGATAGGAAATGGCTCGGCCCTTACTAGTTTGTGACTTTGTGTAAATCACTTAATCTCTCTGAGCTTCAGTTTCCCCAGTTGCAGAGTGGGGATAATGTTATTACTTAATAGTTGTTATGAATAAATGAACGAATTAACTAATTAATTTTTATAAAGGATTTGGACTAGTGCATGATACACGGTAGGTGTTATTTAGTTGTTTGTTACATAAAACAGGTAAGATACAATGTAAAGAAAGAGGTTGGCTTTCTAGGAAGATAAGAAAAGAAGATGTGGGGAAAAATAGAGGCGAATTTAGGATAATTGAGGTAACATCTGTCATAGAAGTCAAGGGAGGAATAGTATAAAGTTGAAAAACAAAACTGAATCACACAAAGATACAGAGAAAGAGGAAGGCCAAGCGAGATCACCAAGTGTGGAAAGGAGGAGGCATCCCAGAGTGCGCTCTGGACAGAGGGGTGAAAGGGAAGAGGCCCAACTACAGGGAACAAAAGAGGCAGTGAAAACGGGGAAGAGAGGCACTGGCATGGCTATCTGCCAGCAATATGTGAATGTGTCCGAGGGCAAATGAAGCTTGAAAATAGGCATTTGATGAAATTACTGGATAACACATTCATGGTGAATCATTAAAAGACTGTTAAGGAAATTTGGAGTCATTTCTAACCATCAGGAAATTGACAGCTTAGAGGATGATAACCCTGGCCTAACGTTTAGAGTTAGGTACCAAATACTAAGTTGACTGCAGCATGAGCTGAGGTAAGATGGAAGAGTTCATGATTTTCCCCGTTTACCCAAAAAAAATTTCCTCAATGGCAAATTCTGAAAATTTGAGGTGTTCTCATTAAGCTTTATTTGTGTTTGTGTGAAACCAATACATTTTTGCTCTGTATGAAAGTGTGTGTCATAAACATTTGGAAACTCTGAGGAGTCCGTCTGAAAAGCTGACCTATTGCACAGAAGCCTCTGATATGAGAAGTTTTCTACAAATCATTCACTGGTTCCCAGTTTGAAGAAGTACTCAGAATTGTTCTTAGTATTTTTTTATCCAAATATTTGCTCATAAATTCTAGTGTAGTAAATACACTTAGGAGAATTTTGAAAGTCAGAAACTCCAAATTTCAAAAAAGCTTTCTTTTCTTTGGGTCTGTTTTCATAAACAGTCTATGTAATGTTATACTTATGAACTTTGTTTTAAGTGCTTTAAAAGGCATTGTTATTGGGGAGTGGTGGGTGGGCAGGTGGGGAGGGGAGTTGCCTAACCAGCTCTGAAAAATTACTAAACTACCTGACATAGGCAAAACCAGAGAAAGGAAGGCCATCAGGGAAAGACTGAATTCAGTCCTTAGGCATTTTCGTAGTAGGTTGCAAATTTGGTTGTATTGGACTGGCACTGTCTAATAGGAATATAATGAGGCCCACAAATGTGATATAATTTTCCATTTTCTTTAATGCAAGCCACATTTTAAAAAGGGAAAAACAAACAGGTGAAATCAAGTTTAATAATACATTTTTTATATATCCAAAGTATCATTTAACATGCAATCCAAGTAAAAACCATTAACAAGATATTTTGCATTATTTTATTCTGTATGGTCTTCAACATCCAATGTGTATTTTACACATCTAGTACATACTACTTTGTTTTAGTATTTTTTTAAGGGCAAGTTGACAAATAGAGGCATTATATAAAGAGTGCTCTAGTATAGCATAACTTAGAGCAAGCCAGCAACTTGAAATAAGTCAACACTGGGACTTTTCTGATTTCTTTCTTGAGTGGAGAGAGGCTGGGTTTCTTAGGAGACCTCTCAGTCTGAAATGGAAATAAACCTGGACGCAGTGTACTCTTGAAAGACAGCAATGCTGTGTTCAGTGTTTCCCTGCAAAAAGCTTTTATCCCAGGGTGTACAAAAATTTTTTTCTAATAACGCATAAAGTTTATTCCTTGGATGGATCCATGATATTTATTTAAGGTGTCCTCAGAAGAATGATGGGCATATCGCTTGCAAAAGTTGATTTGTATCCTCATAAATTCCACTGACTATTTTTTTTTTTAAACTCTGCCTCCTCCCAGGAATAATCAACCCTTAATAAGGCCCAGCCTAAGGAATCTCGGGGTAGGTCTCCCGACCTCGCCAACTTCGCGGCGCGGGCGGAAGACGCGGGCTCCCCCCGCTTGCCCGCATTCCCTGGCAGCTTCGCGGCTTCGGGCAGATGGAGTTTCCGGCCTGCGCTCCGTGGTCGCTGGGTCATCCGCCCGCGCTCCTTTCTGCCTGAGGTCAGGGCCGCGGGAAGAGCGCGCAGTCGGTCGGGGTATCCGGGCTGCAGTTCCGCGCTGCGTGCACGCCCGCCGCCCCGCCGCTCCCTGCGTGCCAGGCCGGGCACGGGGAGGCTGGGCTGGCCGCCGCAGCTCGGAGGTTGGGCCCTCCCCCAGGGTGATTTCAGCGCAGAAGGTGAAATTGCGGAAGTTTCCAGCCCCGACTGACAGATGAGGCTCGCGACGGGCTCGGTATGCTCTGCAGCGGCTCTGCGGCGCGCCCGGCTCCCGCTCTCCGCACCCCGCGCCCCTAGAGGCCACTGAGCCGCGAGTGGGCCATGGCCACGCTGCCGAGCGCAGAGCGTCGCGCCTTCGCGCTCAAGATCAACAGGTAAGACGCGCCTCGCGGCCAGTCTGCCCCAGCTAGCCCTGCGCGGCGACGACGGCCGCTGCGGGGGCCGGGCCCGGCGAGTCCCTGCGCGTCCGCGGCGGGGCGCGCTTGAGACCGGGGGGCGACCGGTCCCCGAGGCTGCTGCAGTGGAGCCCTAGAGCGCGCGACGGCCTGCGCGCTGGGCTCACATCCTCCCAGAGAATCCCAATCCTCCCGAGAATTCTGATCCTCCGGTTGTCCTCAGCCCCCAGGGTCACTTCCCCGAGCAACCTCGCCCGCGCGGTCCTCGGGTTCTGACAGGTGGCTGGGCCCCAGGAGTATGACAGGCGCAGGGGTAATCGTGTTGGGCACCGCGGGGAGTTTCTTATTAACTGCTCCTTCCTTTGAGGCTGTTCTGAAAGAGGGAAGAAAGCGACGTGGCTGAAATAAGAGTTTTGCTTTAAGGTAGCTGCTTCAAGACTTCCGTTGTCCTGAGCAGGGCTCTTTTCCCTCTTGCTTTACCATTCCAGAAAACGTTTGGCTCTTGATGACATCGCTATTTTTATTCCCTGGTCCAAAGGAATCATGAAGTGGAAAAAGTGATTTTTAAAATTCTCCATTTAAATAAACAAAAGGGAATGGCCTGTGGCTGACATTTTTAGATTTACAGCACTGCAGCAAAAAACTAAGGACACAGGTTCCCAACTCGCCATCCAATTCCTGATCAAAACTGCACAAACTAAATGTAGGCACATTTACTGTTCTAAGTTCTCAGAAGAGGTGCTTTAACTGCAGTTTTCCCTCTGCTGAAAACTGCTGACAAGTATTTGGGGACATTTATGCCTTGTCCTAAGAAATCTAGAGTGGTTAAAGGATAATAGGAAACTCCTCCCGAAGGGTCACCTTACTCTACTGCCCTCACTGCTCTCAGATTTGTTAGTCTTCTTTTAGCTGAGCCTGTGAAAGGCTGGTTCCACAACATGTTCATCTTTGTGTTGCTAAGCGTGTGAAGAGGTTTGAGCAACAAGGACTTAAAAGCCCAGAAAAGGGAGGCGGTAAGGACTTCCAAAGGGCATATTGAGCTTTATTGATGATTTTATTTCCACCTGCTGTGTAGCTGTGAGCAAACCATTTCTCTTACCGTGCTATTTCTTCATCTGTAAAATGAGTTTAATTAGTAACGTACTGTATATTAATGTTGGAGGCCAAAAAGTACTAGTCAAAAGGCATTAAGTATGTCAGGGATCTGTCTCCCTATGAGAATTTTTTTCTGCATTAGATTTCAAGGCTATTGTATGCCAGGAGGAGCAATTCATTTGGTGGATGTAGGGAATCAAGCTAAAGTTACTGATGGATGTATTATTTGCCATAGCCACTGCTCCTCCATCCTTGTGATTTTTAGGCCAGTAAGTGTGACTTGGGCAGATGTTAGAGACTGTGTGGTTGGGCAGGGTTGATCTGGGGTGAGCCCCCAGAGCCTGGACTAATCCTATAGGCAGTCCTGCAAGCAGCTGTGGGGTTGGAGTAGCCTGGGGGTTAGGAATAAAGGCCCTGGCTGGGATCTGATCTGCTTGCAAATTGGCTCTCTGCTAACTAACTATGTGACACTAGGCATATTATTTAGCCTCTCTAAGCTTTGGTTTCTTTATGTGTCAAGTGGACATAAACATAGTACTTTTTTATGATTGTCGACAGGATTAAGTGAGATAATAGGTACAAAGTGCTTGTAGTGCCTTGCTCGGAATAAATGTTAAATAAATATTAGCTATGGTGACGTCAGCATTGCCATCAGCTTCATTGTCATCATTATCTCTTAGATCCTAAGAAATAAAGGTAGAAAAGAAAGCTGAAGTTGGAGGACTTCCCAGGCAGAGACCACTTTGGGCTGGATATGGAGATGCCAGTGGCTGGTTGGAGCTTTCTCCAACTGGTTGGAGCCAATTTTCTCCCTTGTGTGCCTTGCATCCTGGTGCTGAGAACACCAAACACACTCAATGGGACAGAACATGTGATGGAATCTGACCAAGAAGAACCCCACTCAAGTTAAAATAAAATATAAAAGATTCTCTAATCTTCAGGCAAGAACATGGATTAGATATTCCTATTCTTAGAATTCTATTTTCCCTTTTGAAGCATTTTGTGTATTGGGTGGAATAGTTAAACTAAGAAGCTTGTCAGAAATTATTGTTCAAAGGAGTGGATTAATAAGGGCATACCTAGTATTAATATATTGATCACTTGCTATGTCCCAGCACTATGTTATACACTTAATGGGTTATCTAATTAAATCCTCACAAAACCCTGTGAGACTCAAGTGAAACCTCATATAGAAGAGAAAAATGAAGCTTAGAGATGTAGTTGCACGAGGCCATGTAATTTGTTGAAGGCCACACAACCAGCAATCTGGGATTACGAACTGCTTCAAAGACTGTGCTCTTAATTGGGTCTATAGTATTTTGACCCATGTATCTTAAGAATTTCCTTTCGAAGCAAGTGGGGAATTAATTTTTTTAAAAAATTGTAATTTCAGTAACAGCATTGGCAAATTGTTCTGTTTCTGATATGTAAACAAATTAACAATGTGATGTTTTGCAATTTTAAAGGTGGAAAAGAAAATATTTTCCCCTGCATGCCTACCTATTGTTTTTTTTTAATAGATCAAATTACAAAAGTAAGATTGTTGAAATATGGCCATCAGGACATTTGGCATATGCTCACATTTTTTCACCTTTCCACTAAGAATGATATAAACTATCCGTTAAAAATACTTGTAAGGTAAAACCAGTGTGCTTCCTATTAATGAAATGTTCAAATCTGACATATTAAAAATATTATTTGTAAAGAGTTCAGTTCTGTCCACACCAGTCCCAAAAAGGAATGAGCAGACATTTCATAGTCAGAGAAGAATGTTGCCCACTGCTTTTACATTCTGTGGCTTCCTGCAAGCAGCATTGCCCTGTGCCGCGGCAGGGCCAGAGCTGAGGAGGAACCTGGGAATGCCACCAATGACTATTCCCCCATGTTGGCCTTGACCTCTCATGTTCTTGTAAAGCCTAAATGTCATGTGTTGGAAATCACCATGTAGGACTTGTTTCGTTTTGAGCACCAAGTGTGATTATATAACTTGTTCCAGTTAAGCATTTCTCTGGAACCCACAGCTGCAAAAGATGTGAGAGAAAGGGTCCACCACTGAATTTTTCTAAGGTGGAAAAGCGAAGTTTATTTTCTTATAAGTGTTGTATACTTGCCTTCATTTCACTTTAATTGTTGCTGACTTCTTGTATGCAAAGGAAAGACTACATTAGGCAGTTCATAATAATTTCTGCATTGGGGATTTCAGGCATTGTTGCATTAAGTGTCATAACACGCTCTGTGTAGGAGCATCCAGTCTTGTTAATGACCTTCTTTTCTTATTGGAATTTATTATCACTAGTACTCTGAAAATCCATTAAACAAAAATCTTGGTGCCTTTCAAACACAGAATAGATGTAGAACTTGATAAAATATTTAAGTAAAATAAGAATTTTGGATTAAAAGAACAAGAGTGTTGAATGCAGAAAAAAACATTAATGATCTTGTGGACATTCAGGATTGAAAGCAATAAAAAATAATGGCTTATGCTTCTATAATGCTTGCCGTGTGGCAGGTAAATCTTTACATACTATAACCCATTCACTTCTATGAAGTAAGAGCACTTACTATCTCCATTTCACAGATGGAGAAACTGAGCACAGAGAAGTTATGTAAATTTTCCAACATCATTAACAGCTAATAAAGGGAAGAGCTGGGATTCAAATACAGGCAGCCTGGCTCCAGAATCCTCTCCCTTCACCACTATGCCATGCTGCCATCTCAGTTTTAGTTTAAAATAATAATAAGTAACATTTATTGACTACTTACTATGTACCAAGTACTGTACTAAGCATTTATATACCTTCATTTCATCCTTTGAAAAAAGGAACAGAATATTAAGCATAATAATAATCATCATAGAGAATGATTTAATGGAAGATAAAAAAAGGTGCTAAGAAAAGAGAGTAAAGTTACATAAAGATTGCATTCAGGAGCAACTCCAATAATTTTGGGTGTAAAGGCCAGAATAGAATGAGGTATAGAGAGCTTCCTGAGAAATATTTGCTAATTTTGTCTGCAGAGGTAATATAAGCATACAGATATATGTGTTCACATGTATAAATGTGTGTCCACAGTGAAAACAGTGCTGTTCTTTAGTAGTGGGGGTGGCTGGTGGAGTGAGGTGGTGTGTTCTCAGGAATTGCTTCATTTGTCTGATGTTTCCTAGACCAAAAACCAGTAGGGGCTCTCAGGCAATCAAATTCAGAATCTTTGGTCTTTCACATTTAGAATCATTTCCTTCCAGATTCTTGGAAAAGCTCCATTTGAACTTCAGGTATCTAGATCTATTCTGAAGACGCCTTGCAGAACATATGCTGGAAGGACCTTGTGCCAGGGTGAAATATTCTTCAGTCGGAGTTCATTGAGCTTTGACAATTCACATGTATCTGTGAAGCTAATGTTTACTTCTTCGTGGACCTGTGGAAAGAAAATATAATGACATCACGTGGTTACCTAGGGAGAGGAGTAGAGCTCAGGAGACCCAGTCTCCCATCCCAACTCCCCACACAGAGCTAGTGATGGTATTGTGTGATGTTAAAACACCTAAACTTTTTATCCTCTTTCACGGGGACCATGAAAAGGCAGGGATGTGACAATACTCAAAATTCTCTCTGGAGAAGGCTCAGAAACAGGAACAGTTGGCTCTTTTCAATGGGGAACAACCAGGTGCTTATTAATGTTTTGGCCAATTTGATAAAACATTAAAGCGCTGGGAATATGCTCTCCCTGTTTGCATAGCAGCTAGTCTATTACCAGTCAGCAGCCAGAAAGGCTCTCCGGGCTCTAGGTAAACACATGAAGTTTATATAGTGTGGTTAAGTGTGGTTCCTATGCTTCTGGAACCCACCCATATGCTTTCCTGTATTGACAACGCAGGGGAACACAGGACAAAAACAGATTGACATCTCTGAAAACATGCATGAACACATCTGTATGCAGGGGTTCTGGTGAAATCAAACAAATTGGTAAATTTGGCCTAGGGTACGAGACATTCTATCAGGTCCCACTGAATCACGATCAAACACAGGGTTAGAAAAGGAGAAATGGTGGCTGCAGAATCAGAGTCTCTCCAGCCCTGTATGCTTTTCATCCATGTTCACCATCGTGAATGGGAAAGTAGTCAGTCATCTGTGGGCTCTGCGTCCGTGGATTCAACCAAATGCAGGTCAAAAATATTCAGACAGAAATGTATGGTTGAACATGTATTGAACATGTACAGACTTTTTTTCTTTTAATTATTCCCTACACAATCCAATATAACAACTATTAATATTACGTAGCATTTACATTGTATTATTATAAGTAATCTAGAGATGATTTGAAGTATACATACAGGAGGATGCACATACAGGAGGATGCAAATATTACACCATTTTATATCAAGGACTTGAGCATCTGTGGATTTTGATATCTGTGTAGG